AATATATAATGTATTATTAAACTATATTTAGAAACTTCAAAAAATCACACATTTATACAATGTAATTTAAATTTTACCTGGTGCACATAAGCTAATAAATTTAGTAAAACTTGTTGCTATTAACTTAACATTAATTTCTTTATTCAATTCAATAACAACTGGCGGCATCTTTTGAGGATGGCTTTTACGAACATTTTCAAACATAATATTTTCCTGTATTCTCTCTGTTATCGTTGGCACCAATTCAGACATTTTTACTAATGCTGCACCATGTGAGTTTGTCCAGGACCATACTGGTGGTCTATTACCTTGAAAATGTCGAGCTGCATCTGTCAACTGGCTATCAGTCACAGATGCAGGCACAACTATGTATTGCGACAAACTGCAAATAAACAATACATAATAAAAATTAAAAAAAAATTTGTGTTTTAAATGTTATAAATGTAATTATATAAATATATTCAATGTAAGACAGATGATCAAGCTACCTAGGACAAAGTTGAAATTTGGCATTAACCATTGATAACCTCCAACCTTTCCTTATTTCATCGCTAACAAGTATTCTATTCAATTCATTTTGCCAATCCAAAATATCTCGAAATAACTGAACATTTTTGTCAAGGCTACTATAATAAGCTTCTCTATAATATGAATAAAACAAAAATTAATTTTAAGCTAAATATTATATAAAATTTCTTGTGAATCCTGGTGGAAATAATTTTACAACTTTTCATGCGAAAATTATGCAAAAAGAATCATTTTTTTTGTTATAATTAAAATTTTTTAGATTTTTTCTACGATTTGGGCTATGTTTGTAATTTTTTATAAATTTATATAAATAGTTTGATTTTCTACAACTACATTATATAGTTTAGTTATAACAATTTCTACAACTTATTACATTGCTCATAAAAATGTTTGTACAAAGTTCTAGAAACTTATAAAAATTTGTAAATATTTTTTACAATTCGTTATAACTTACTTATAAATTTCTACAATTTCTACAAATTTGAAAAAAATTGTAATATGTTGTCAAAAATTTTAATTTTTCATACAGGTATGTAAATTGCTATAAAATTATTTCTACCAGGGAATTCTTTGTTACAATTGTAATGCAATTATATATTCTATGCTTAATATATGATACTAACTTGTAATCATAGGCAAACAATAGCTGGTGTCTGCTAGGAAAAGCATGATGTAGTAATGCAGTCAAGAGATTCTTAAAAAAAAATTTGTGTTTTAAATGTTATAAATGTAATTATATAAATATATTCAATGTAAGACAGATGATCAAGCTACCTAGGACAAAGTTGAAATTTGGCATTAACCATTGATAACCTCCAACCTTTCCTTATTTCATCGCTAACAAGTATTCTATTCAATTCATTTTGCCAATCCAAAATATCTCGAAATAACTGAACATTTTTGTCAAGGCTACTATAATAAGCTTCTCTATAATATGAATAAAACAAAAATTAATTTTAAGCTAAATATTATATAAAATTTCTTGTGAATCCTGGTGGAAATAATTTTACAACTTTTCATGCGAAAATTATGCAAAAAGAATCATTTTTTTTGTTATAATTAAAATTTTTTAGATTTTTTCTACGATTTGGGCTATGTTTGTAATTTTTTATAAATTTATATAAATAGTTTGATTTTCTACAACTACATTATATAGTTTAGTTATAACAATTTCTACAACTTATTACATTGCTCATAAAAATGTTTGTACAAAGTTCTAGAAACTTATAAAAATTTGTAAATATTTTTTACAATTCGTTATAACTTACTTATAAATTTCTACAATTTCTACAAATTTGAAAAAAATTGTAATATGTTGTCAAAAATTTTAATTTTTCATACAGGTATGTAAATTGCTATAAAATTATTTCTACCAGGGAATTCTTTGTTACAATTGTAATGCAATTATATATTCTATGCTTAATATATGATACTAACTTGTAATCATAGGCAAACAATAGCTGGTGTCTGCTAGGAAAAGCATGATGTAGTAATGCAGTCAAGAGATTCTTACCATGTCCAATAGGTGAAAATTTAAAAGAAAAGGACCATGTCCTTAGATTCTGTAAGTTATAACATAATACATATACAAAAGTCATATTACAACCATGTGCAGCTGATATATAACAAAATTGTTTTAATTTTAAAATAAATGTTAAGTAATATACATAAAGAAAACAAAATTTTGATATTTAGTTATATTTTTCATTTATGGTGTGAGATCTTAATATTAATTGAAGAGTTAATTTACATTAATTCGTTATATCATAAAATGAAAAAAAACTCACTTTGCAAATAATAAATATTCCTTTTACTTTTGATGGTACTGTATTTCCAGAGACTAGTTTTCTTTTCTTATCACCTACCATTACATAGATCTCATCGATATTTGTCAAACATGTATCAGTATATCCATATAAATGGTTTTGTTGATGAGTAGTATCCTATAATAGAGATTATTCAATATTTTATAAGTTATGCTTAGACATTGGTCCTTTAATAATAAATAATTATAAAATTAATGGTTGTTACCTCCCCATTTGAGTCATCGCTGGTAATAAATGTAAGTTTGAAATTAGTCACTGACAAAATACCAGATATACCTTGTTTTAGATCACTGACAGGTGAAAACATAAGGACACTTTGTGCTTCGGCAATAAGAACTTCTCCTGGTAATAGCTTTATACTATTTTCAATTAATGAATTACGTCGACTGGAGCTAAAAGTCTGCAGAAAATGTTGATTAATTAGTTCTAATTTCATAAATTAAGACATTTAAATGAATTCACACACATATATAAACAATAAAAAAATGTCAATTGCAAGAGTCGAAATATTTACATAAATAAATATAATTGCAATTACCTGCATCTTGTGCTCTTCCAATTCCACATAACTAATAAAATTGTTACTATTTTTATTTTCCATAATAATTATCCAACATCAATATCTTAATATCTTAACAAAAATTAAAAAATTTGCAGTTTTACTATGGATCATACATAGATAATAGTAACAAATATTGAAATAATTCTATGTTTAATGTTGTTCTTGTCATTTCCATTACCGCAATGTATGAAATAATACAAAAAATAAATGATTAGCAAATATCAAAACTTTTATATATGCACGAGTTGACATACATAAAAAAGTTGTGATAAAATATAATAAGATATAACGTAAATAAACAATGTGCAAGGAATACAAATGTAAGAATCTCCAATGCACGTAAATAAAATATCGATATGAATCGCAATGTGTGTGGAAATTCTCTTTATATTTTATTTTCAATGTCGATTAGCTTTTCTATGTATATACTTCGCCACAAACTTCTATGTATTATACTAGATCGCTAACATGGCTAATTAGTCTCATATGATGAAATCATTGGTGAACCGAAATGTGATGTGATGCAAAGACAGCCATTTTCAATTGGGCAAAATGTCATACCGGGTGTCGCAAAATTCAATATGCCATGTCTCTTGATACCACGTGAACACATGTATGTACAATCAGGGTCAGAAATATATAATATACCTATATATATTATATATATAATCTGATATATATATATATAATTTGTAAAAAATTATCTTAAATTTATGCTTTTATTTTAAACAAACAATAATGTGTTTCAAGACAAAAATAAAAGTGCAATAAGTACGTGTGGGCTCTTCTTTTATTTTTATTAATATAGTTCTACACAAGGAAATATATATTAACTTATTTCACCAAGTGGGTAAAATAAAAAATACAATACATATGTCTCGCGCGCGTTGCTTTCTTTTTCATAGTCTTACACGCGAGAAAAAGATAAGAAACGAGTAATATAAATATTATAAAATCTACAGACAGCATTCGTTACGGCGAGATACTAAATACATAAAGTTTGGTTTCCTTTCTGGCTAATATAATAGCTCGCACACAATATTTTACAATAAAATACAACTTTTATTTAACGCGTAAATCATATTTTGCTATACGTTTTTAATAAATATTGCAAATAATGCGTTATAATTATAAAAATGTGTATGAAACAGAGGAAAAGAGAAAGAGGAAGGACAGGGTGAAGGAGAGGGCAAAGGAGAAAGGGAAAGAAGAGGGAGAGGAAAAAAGGGAAAGATATAGGAGAGGAAAGGAGAAGAGGTGGAGGAGAAAATGAGAAGGGGAAGGAAAGAAGAAAAAAGGGAAAG